CAGTGATTTAAGATGACTGATAAACCCACCTGTCAGCAAGTACAAATGAGGAGTCCAGTAGAGATGACTACACTAGGTGTTGAATTCAAAGCAAAGTTTGCCCGCATGCTTGTTTTTGCCTCTGGAGCCTGAACACCCTTTTCAAAAGCACCTGGATGTCAAGGTGATGGAAGTTACACAAACACACCCCATGGCAAATAAGTGGGGTCAGGGTATGGCTGGTGAGTGTGACTTTGATGGTGTCACTGCACTTAACAAAACAAACATGGGTTTCACAACTGTCATTTTTCGGTGCATGCAAAGTGCATGATGGGGGGGCGGGGTGAGTTATGGTGAAAAGCAAAAAGACTTCAGTCAAGATCTACCTTTTATTTTCTGTAATACTTAACCACTTCCAGGATCCCATTAAAGGAAGAACCCGGAAAACTTGAAGCTCACTTTGCATCGGGGTCTCATCTGCTACACGCCTGGCACTAACTGTAACAAGTACTTTGTGTTCTATCCCAGACAGATAACACAATCAATATTTTTCTTCAAAATATTTTCTCAGAGATCCAGGAACTCTTGGCTTACTATTCACTCTGCCTTCTTTGGTTGTTTTTTTATTGATTTTTTTTTTGAGAGAGAGAGAGCAAGCAAGAGGGAGAGTGAGAAACATCGATGTGAGAGCAGAGTATCGATCAGCTGTCCCCTGCTCGTCCCATCAGAGATCTAGCCCGTGACCCCAGCATGTGCCCCAACTCTGAACTGAACTCCCATCTCTTCAGTGCATGGGACGATGCCCACAAGCCACGTGTGCCAGGGCTCTCACACTGCCGTTTTAAGTGAGTCACTGAACAATTCCCCTGCGTGTGGCAGGTTCCTCATCTCTGAGCACAGATGTCTAAAGATAAAAAAAGCCTTTCCGAGTTCAAAACCTCAAATCCTTTTCACTTATGACCAAACAAAAAGTGGGAACCATGATTACGTAAATTACTTCTCATGCATTACTGTTTCCCAGGACCTGAAGAGCTGCACTGTTTTACTCCCTTGAATGTAGAAATCCTGTCTGTCCAACAAAGAATAGATCTATATACTCTAACAATCAAGTGAAGGAAGAGTACTCCTCTCCCACGTTATGAAATTAGGAGCCCAGGTCGGCTCCTGACTCACCTCTACCTGGAGAACCTGCTGGCACAGCCACCGCTGCTAAACACATTTACATTGATTCACTTTAATCTGACCAGAGAAGTCCATGGCAGCCTAAACTTTCATTACTCTACTGAGGCCCATAAATGCCTCGCTCAAATGGTTCTAATTCTCCCTTATTCCTTGATGACCACAATACTACAGTTAAACCTGTCCCCAACGCTGTAAATGGAGGGCCACCTGTCACCTGTGTGGTTGTCCAGTAAAACTAAAGGAGACGTATCAGAAGCAAACACACTAAGACAAATGGCATTACAGACTGAAGGCTTAAAGACCTTATGCAACACCATGACTGACTGCCAGAAGTCTTTTGCATACTGAATTCTTGCAATCAGCTGATAAGAAAAGTTTCATCCGAAGACGTAGGCAGGTGTTTGCAACAGAGATAAAAGGACTTTTAGAAAATAAAACAATCAACAGCAGTATACTCACATGCACTCCTCCCAAGTAGAAAGTCAAGGCAGATGCCAATTTGAGACCTAACCCTTTGCCAGAAAACCCCTTGTCCGACTTCTCTTGGGATCAAGGCCTTAGTCGAAGAAGAGTTTTGTGTTAGTGACATATGCAAGATTGGGTGGGGCTACCCTACTAATTTGGTATATTAAAAGTTAAGCATGGAGGCTGGTCGGGTGGCTTAGTTGGTTGGAGCATCAGCCTGTATAGCAAAAGGTTGCAGGTTTGGTTCCTGGTCAGGGCGGCACATACCTAGGTTATGAGTTCAATCCCCGGTCAGGGGCATATGGGAGGCAAGTGTGATGTTTCTCTGTCACATCAAGGTTTTTCTCTCTCTCCCTTCCTTTCTATCTAAAATCAATAAAAACATAGCTTGAAGTGAGGGTAAAAATTTAAAGAGTTTTTAAAAAAAGTTAAGCATGGAAAGATGATGCAAAAATATCTAAAAAGCAGATGTTCGCCCTGGCTGGTATGGCTCAGTCAGCTGGACATCGTCTCATGCACCAAAAGGTTGCTGGTTCGATTCCCAGTCAGGGCACCAAAAAAAAAAAGCAGACATTTGCCAAGACCTGCCCCAAACACAGCAGCCCCTTTACAAGGAGGGACTGGGGCATGAGGTCAGACAGAGATCCCTGTAGGAAACAGCCTGACATTGTTCATAATTCACGAAGCCTCGTCTCTTTAGGGTCCTAACTACAACTTCAACAAACCAACTGCTGAGTTGCTTTAAAAGTAATGGCAGCTTTTTGCTGTTAAAATATCTACTTTCCTAAAAGCCAGAGCTGCTTGCATCTTTTTGGTGGATAGAAAACCCACGTGGCACAGACAGAAGAGAACTTCAGGACAGTGATTACCCCTGGGGAGGCAGAAGGAAGAAAAGAACTGGAGAGGAGGGTGGTTAAACGGATCTGCCTGAAAAATAGAGGCCTGAAGTACATATGTTTAAACACCAACATTTGTTCAATCTGGGTGGTGGGTACCTGGAAATCCAGTACACATACATATTTTAATTTTTCTCCATGTCTGAAGTACAAAAATCAAAGTAAAATGTTTTAAATGTGAAAAGGAGACACAAAAGGCACAAAGAAAATGCAGGCTGGTGCCTAAGCAATGCGGTGTCAAAGTCCAACCATGCTACTTTGATTAAATGTAATTGCCAAGAAACACAATAAATACACATAAGCCTCCTGGGAACATCCGAATGCAAGATAACACACACTAAAGTTAGAACCCGCTTTATAGTTTTACTTTTTATCACCCGATAGTCTTTTGATATCAATCTTGTTAACAAAAGGCACATCAGTACTTTTATCTTTAGCCAAATAAAACCCGTGCCCATATTTGAAGTTATACTAAAGGATATGTAGTATTATTTTAATGTATACTTGTTAATCTAAATGACAACCAAACTATAGGAGACATAAATGCGGCAGCGTGGTTTTTAGTACTAAAGCTAAGTGGGATCAAAGTGTAAGTGACACATTCTGTTTAGGGTTCAGAGAAAAACAGCAGGATTTAGGCCTGTGCTAACAAACACAGATGCTGTCAGAGAGGGAGAACTGAAAAAATCAAGGTTTCTTCTTGAGGATCTGGTACCAAATGGTCTATACCAATGACAGAATGACAGCCATTGAGTGCCAACATGGCCTCACTGGGCCTTGTCCCCAGTTTTTCCCAGTATTTGCTTTGGTATATACATATTATGAGATCATTAGATGCCAGTTTTGCGGATAGGTGTTACCACCTCACCACATGCAAACATCACAGAAATTGCAAACTGTTAGCACAGAAGCCAAGTCAGGCCCATAGATACTTTGTTGGGCTCGCACCTTTTTTTTAAAATTTGAATTAGGATAATGCTCATAAAAGTCTGGATTTCTGTATTCCCTTTACTAAGTATGGGAAGATCTGGCAACACTGGACTGGTTTGAGCTAAGTGGCAGCTGCTCAAGTTGTATGAGGCCTGTTCACCACAGTTCCCACCTCTCCCCATCCCCCCACACACCAACATCACTTATTCACACTACTTGTCCTGCCCCATGCAGACATTTTAATCTGTGACTTAATACTCAGCGTGCCACACCCTGGAGGCACTGGATCGGAGGAGATTCTCCTTAGAACCAAATTAGGGGGTGGGAGGGAGACAAGGAGAACTCTGAATTCCAATACAGGGTAGAAGAGGGGAAGAAAAGCCTGAAAAAGGAGTTATTCCCACCATCAGCATATGCCCATCTCCATGGTCCTGTTTCTGAGCTCCAACATGTACAGCTCCTTTTCTTATGCTGCAGGGTTCCCTGAACGCATGAGCTCCCTGACTCTGAACAACGCTCATTTCAGCTTAAGAGGGACTCGCCTCTGCTCTCATATTGCCTAAGGCCTCCCAGAGGTGTGCTGGCGTGTTTCTTGACGCAGTGCTCCCAACATTCAAGCCAACCATGGGAATTCCTTTCTACTCGGTAACGCATCAGATGCCCACAGATGCTGTGCCCAAACTCATAGCAAGTAAAGGGAGCATCACACCGTGACATTTGCTAAGCCAGGAGGAAAAGAAATTATGGCTAAAAACAAAAGATGTTTGATGCAAAGAGGAGAAATTACTCATCAAGACAAAAGTCACTGTCAGACACTCGCACACAAAAGATGCACAGGGAAAGATGGAACAGAACACCATTCATGAATCATCTTCAAGAAAACACAAATGTGTCTACATCAAATGAAATATCCAGGGAAGAACAATAATAAGCTCCCTGCTGCGCATAGATATATACACACATCCACACACATGTGCATAGACAGCCATAATTATGATAAAGTTCAGGATATATTAAGTTACCACTATATATACACTAAATAAATAAAAAAGCCCGGCCAGTGTGGCTCAGCGGTTGAGCATCAACCTATGATCCAAGAGATCTCAATTCGATTCCTGGTCAGGGCACATGCTGGGGCTGTGGCCTGATCCCCAGTAGAGGGTGTGCAGGAGGCAGGTGATCAATGACTCTCTCATCATTGATGTTTCTCTCTCTTTCTCCCTCTCCCTTCCTCTCTCTGAAATCAATAGATATATTTTTTTAAAAAATAAGAAAAGATACTAAATAGGAAGTGTTTCCATAGTTCATAGTGCATCGGTATCGAGGCACTTTATTTTATCAAAACCTGACTTTCCTAATCAGAAGTGTCAAAGTTCATATTTTCACATGTGCCTACAGAATTTCAAGAAACATTGCACAGTCGAAGAAGAGTCTTGCTCCTTAGAGTTACAAGATCATTGGCAGAAAAATTTAAAACCACACTCTGGCACAGGTTTTACAACTCGCTGTTTCCACCCCCTACAGACGGAAGGAAAGGTAAACACTCACGGCAGAGAGCTGGCTCCATGTGGACCGAAGTGGCTTGTGCTGAACCACTATTTTTTCCTCCGACTTCTGTTCTTTGGGCTCGGACTCTTCGTCAGAGTCAATGTCAAGGGCCTTTTCTTTGTAGTTCTGGTACAGGACAGCATTCTCTGCAAGAAAAACCCTACATGTCACCAATCGACTCCATCATTATTCTACCTGTTCTAAACAAACACCCATATTTGTACAATGTTGGGTCTCCAGTTTAATAAATGACAAAGAGACAAATGGATTTTGTCACTAAGGAGTATTCCAATGACCAAGAGGTGATTTTCTCACTCACACAGCCCTGTCCCAAATTCATCCATTAGGGACAACTACATGTAAGGACAACTACAGCAAAATTTCCACGTCTCTGTACACTACCCATGAAGGATAGTCATACCCGTTAAACTGTTTCCTAGGTTAAATTGAATCCACACCCTACCTTCCCTTCAAGGTCCATCACCATTTATTTATCTGTTTAACAAACATTTATTGTACATCTACAATATACCAAGGGCTGGGAGTAAATAGAAAACAAAAGATACTTCTTGTGCCCTCATAAGCTAAAAGTTTAATGAGAAAAATAGTCAAAGGCACTCATTCACTTATTGACTTAACTGATTTTTAGAAAATGCCTAGTAGATGCTAATAATTGCTAGGCACTGGGGATACAACAATGAACAAAAAATATGGAAATCTCAATCTTCATGGAGTTGACATCAGAATGAGGGAAGAGTGACAATAAATAAACAAATAACTTAAAAATATGTCATATGCTCATCCTGACACGCCAAGGTTGTCAGTTCGATCCCCTGTCAGGGCACATACAAGAATCAACCAATGAATGCATAAATAAGAAGTGGAACAACAAATCTCTCTCTCTCTCAAATCATTAAAAAATTCAAAACAAAAATGTCAGATGCTGCCCTGGCCAGTGTGGCTCAGGTGGTTGGAGCTTCATCTGGTATACGAAAAGGCTGTAGATTCGATTCCCCATCAGGGTACATACCTAGGTTTTGGGTTTGACCCCCAGTCGGGGCACCAAAAAAAAAAAAAAAAAAAAAGATCGTATTTTATCCTGATTGCAATGGGAATCCACTGAAAGGAAAGATTTGATTAGATTGTAGGAGCAAAACACTTACGACTTGGGGGACTAATGAGGATGCTACTGAAGTGGTCAATGAAAGATAATGGAGCTTGGGCTATGCATCTTAGAAAGGACTGGGACTGGACTGGAATATGGGCTCAGAAAGAGGAAAGTGATCACAGTGTTTCCTAAGTCTGCAAGTCCCACAACGAGAAGGTAGGAAAGGGGAACACCAGCAGAGATTTAGCTTTAGCAGGGAAGGTTAGGAGTTTGGTTTGGGACACAATGAGTTTGAACTTTCCATCCACTAAAGCAAGCAAACATCTGCCTCTTCTTTCATTGCATGTTCTACATGACTATGGTAAAGGAATACTGAGGTCTATGCAAGACTATACTGGTCTCTGATTGCTCTGTATATTTAAAACAGATTGTGAGGGTATTGACTGAGATTCAGCCACCCCTTTAAAGTAGTTAGTGGTTGGCACAAAACATATGCATACATTGTTGAAATGATTTCTCATTCATTCCCACAACAACGTTGGCAGTGGTACTATTAACTTCATTTTACATATGATGAAATGAAGCCTTGGTGAGGTTAAGATGCCTGCTCAATATCACTCAAGTGATGAGTAAAGCAGCAGGAGAGGAACCCACGTCCCTGGCTCCAACTGCACAGGTTCTCACCACTCTTATCGCACAGCGTACATTGTTAATCATTAACTGTAAGAATCCTGCATTCCTCATGTACATATATGAGAGAAAAAATGTCTAGGTCATCATATTTGAGAAGAGATGAGAGAGTATACAGAAACAGCTCCTTATTAAAGGAAACAATGTAAAACTAGTTATAATGAAGGCTGTGATCTATTCTGGGGGTGATCTGTCCTCTGACTTAAAAAAAAAGAGCTCCACATTTTTTACCCTTTGAGGCAAAGGTCTCAGAATCAATGTCAAATTCCAGAAGATGCAAAACATCTCTCTAAATAAATATTAGATAAATGCTCTGATCACTTCATGGTCAAAAGTGGTACAAGAGGAAGCAAACTGGACTGAGAACCTGATCTCTGTCCCAGGCTAGGTGAGAGCAGAGAGGATACTAAACCTCTTGGAGCTTCCAGCTTTCTCAACTGTAAAATCAGGAAGATGAATTTATCCCAACTAATTACAATACTGCATCTGGGTTTCTTCTCCATAGGGAAAGTTTCCTAAGATTGATGCATTGACTAAATTTCTATAAACAAGTCATGTTTAAATGCTCCAATGGGAATGATTTTTATATAGGGAAATGATTTATAATCACCAAGGTTGTGTGTTTTATAATTCTGGGTGGTTTTACATTAGATATACTTATAAGGGGCATACCCTTCTTCATTATTCTTTAAAGGTTGGAAAATCTAAGCATTTCAGAGCACGACAGAGAGAAACTAGCCTCACCTCTACCACGCTCCACCAGCCCAAGGGTTGCAGCTGGGGCTGCTGCTCCCTTCATGCTTTTCCAGTTGGCTGACACTTGACCCATCTATTTACACAAAGCCCACTAATCTGATTAGGGTTTGAACACCTGGCTAAAGCTGCTTTTGTTTTTGAGACCCTTAACAAAAATACTATACTGGTTACAAATTCTTAGGAATATGTTTCCGTTGGCCAGGAGAGTCAGATTTCTCCCAAACTGAAACTTGATAAGGAAACAGGAAGTTAGAAATGATACTAAAATGGGAAAAAGAATATTAAGTTAAAGGAAATATGACTTAAGGGGAAAAAGTGACTTAATATCTAAATGCCAAACTCTCAGAATTTTTTAATAAAGAGGTAGAGCTTGCTCTTACCCATTTTTTGAGGAAGGTGAAGATGGAGCCAGAGTAGAAAAGAATTAAAATACCAGGACATGGGCTGACAAAATTATCAGCTTACAAAGAAAGCTATTAATTTTATTCACTGCTGGTATTACTAGATGAAAAGTTAGCTTTGTGAAGAGCTTTGTGCTGTATAATTTTGAGAAGTTGGACATTTTCCTCATCTTAAGTGTTTTTGTTACTGCAGTTGGATTGCAACTTATAATTGATATTCCACATTGAAACAGCAATAAAAGTCTGGAAAATCAAATGCTTACCTTCCCCATCAAATGGTCCTTGTCCTTTCAGCATTTTTTTCTAAGAAACAAGAAAAGCAAAAAAAAGAAAAGGCAAAGCATACTATGTATGAATGAGCCAAATAGAAAATACAACCATTTTAAGAAAAAGTACTTATTTTGTTGTTACATTCATTAGATTTCCCAAAGCATACAGCAGATGATCCCTGGAGTGGTTCACTCATATGACTACTACAATTCACTAAAACAGTCAAATAAAATGTACTGTGTCCCTCACACCCTGTTGAAATAGTTTGAGAATCCTCGAATGACCAGCAAGTTCAGCTCATTTCACTACTCATGATTCACCACCACTGTTAAACTGAACTTTGCTTTACTTGCAGAGTTGGGAAAGAAAAAAACAACATAAAATGTTATGTAATTTCTCTAAGGCCATAGGATCTAAAATAAAACATGTTGCTTATGTATTACATATGTGAAATTTATATAGACTGGTTCCAGTTCTCCGATTAATCAAGAAAAGATGTTGCTGCCAAAATGAATTTCTGACCTACTGCTCAGATCTGTCTCACTTCTGGAGAAGGCAGCACATGCACACTCCAAAACCCCCTTCTCTAGTTTTCCCTATTTCTTTATGTCATATTTGGCAATGTTTTACCAATTACAGCTTTTAGGCCTCTATCAGGGAGCAATAACACACAGTTCACTGGAACCTAAGTTCTGTTAAATGCATTCAAGTATAAATGGGCACAAAACAGGAATGAAATACAACCAAAGGCCAAGTTGACAGAAACAAGTAACAACAAAGATGACAGACTACTTGTGCCTTTTGTTTTTTCTGGCACCTAATTTTAAAATTCACATTTTACCTGAGGTATTTATGTGATCCCCACTCAAAAAATTAAATAATGAATGTAAATGATTAAAATGATCAATAGGCTCAAAGGAAAATCAGCATTTTCCCTAATCAGCTGTGATGAATCAGCAACCACTGACAGACACCTCTAAACAAGCACCAGACAGCTTGACCAGAGGCAAGAGTGCAAATCCAGACCTGCTCTCCACTCCCTTTGCAGCTTACCTGCATTAGAAGTGTTCAGCACCCACGCAGCCAATATTTGCTGTATTTTTTTTCGCATTTGTCCCCAGATTTTGCCTGAGCTTAGAAAGTTAACACAGTGATAAGAGTTTCACTTCCTCCCACAAAGCTGCATTAACCTGGACTGTGCCTGCCAACAATAGAATGGCCAAGAGATAGATGTGCACAGGTTTGATCAACAAGCAGCGCAGCTCGAGAGCAGTGACGCCTGGCTTCCTGCGCGCCCCTCCTCCCCACTCCAACACCTTCGCCTCGGACTTAGTGAATACCTGGCTTGGTCGGTGACACGCGGCACTCCTGCCCACTCTTACCTTTATCCTTCCAAGGCTGGAAAACTTCTCCTTGTCTTCCATCACTACTTTCAGAACCGGCTGGGACATTCTGTTCTTCTTCTTCGAGGTGGTAGGGCTGTCAAAATCAACGCCACTGACCACCGCCCTGCGGTAGGACGTGGACCGCAAGCCTCTGCGCAGTGACCCGGGGCTGTCCAGGTCGTTCTCGGCCTCGCCCGCGTCCTCCGGCGGGCCCAGGGCCGTTCCCAGGCCCTCCACCAGGCTGCGCACCTTGAGGAGTCTCTTGTGGGGCTCCACATTCTGACTGCTGGTCTTACTTATTTTAATTTCCGAGGCCAGGCTCCTGGGAATAATCTGCTGCTTCCCCACCTTGAGGGCAGCCGGGCTATTTGTGCTCAAAACCACGGAAGGATTCTCCGGGAGCTCGTTGTCCTGTGAGGGCAGCCTTTGGAGGGGGAGTTTTTGTTCCAAAGGCCTATTCTGGGGCGAGGGTCCCCGCTCGGGGTCCTTAGCCGTCTGGCCAGGTTGCAAACCGGAGCCTGGGGAGTCGGTATTAGGAGGGAGCCCATTTGCGGCGGGCGAAGGCGGGGGTCTGGCCGCCGATCCCGGCGGGTCTACCTCCGGGCTACAGGGGGCGGGGGCGTTAGGAGTCCGCGGGGGGCGCAGCCGCTGCGGCGCGGGCGAAGTCGCCGTACCATTCGCTGGGGATTTCGGGGAGCTGCCCGACGCCCCTTTGAGGGCCTGGGGTGACTTGAGCCGTCTGAGCCGAGGAGAGACAGCCCTGTACTCCGGGGAGACCGTCCTCCCATTGGTCACCGCCCTGCGCTGGGCGCACAGAAGCAGAGGGCTCCTCTGGACTGTCCTGCCGTCCGAAGCGGTGGGCACCTGGGCGGGAGTCTGCACGGCGGGGAGCGTCCCTATGTCCTCCACCGGGAAATCCGTGATCAGCAGCCCGCTGGGGCTCTGGTAAGACTGGGGTCTTGGCTTGCTCCGGCCCGGCATCTGGGGCTGAGGGGTCGACCGCCTCCGCCACGAAGGGGTTAAACTGTTGCTAGAAAAATTCACTTGGCTCTCGCCCTCCATTGCGAAGCCCTGGGGTGAGCCCCGCGAGGAACAGTGCCCAGCTAGACTTGCCTAAAGAGGAGAGAAGTCATGGAACTTTGACTCCACACAGCCGGCACGCCTCGCGGAGACGATGCACGCCGAGCCCGGCGGTCACGCCGCTGCTGCGCGGGACGCAGCAGCTCCGTGTCACTTACCCGCCCTTTCTGGGGCAAAACTGCGCCCACCGCGCGGCGCAGTCCCCAACAAAATCTGGGCTGCGCCCAGGCGGATTAATCCAATTACCTCCTCGTCTCTGCAGCGCCCGGAGACCACCCGCACGCGAAAAGGTCGCCACCAATTCGCCGGGTGCAGGCTGATGCACAAGAAACTTGGGACAAGTTCAGCTTTCTTGGGGAACTCGCCGCGGGGCGCTCCACTCCCACGCCATCCAGCCGCTCGTCCCAGTCCTCGGCTCCCTCGTGCTCAAACTGCCCAGCTCCTAGGTGGATTTACCTTCGGGGCTTTGCAGAGCTGGGGGCCAACGAGGGCCCACCGCCCCGTGGGTGGCCCGGGGACGCGGGACCGAGGCGCCGCGGCGGGAGCTCTGGAAAGCTCGGCAGCCAACTGAGACTCCGGCTACGCCCCCAGCCCCACCCCGCCCGCAGCCTTGGCCCCGCCTCAGCCTTGG